TTTGATTTATTTTGGATAGTTTAAAATGTCACGATTATAGGGCCACATGTTTGGCTTATTTTGGAAATAATTTAAATTGCTTAATTGTTCTTGGATTTTTGTTTGCATTATTGGGAACATAAAGTTGGAAAAATATATTTATGGCCTAATGGTACGTGGAAAGGTTAAATTTAATTGAAATGTTGTGTTGCGCTAAGTCAAACAAATTAGATGTTTTTATGTTAATTTTTTTATATAAATTATGTTGGATGATTGTAATCTAACTATAGTTCATTGTCTGTCGAAATATTGTGATTAATATATATTTATATTTGTAGATGAAAATGTTTGTGAAATATTCCAAAGGTTTTCAAAATGTTAGCATCTTTTAAATTTTTATTTTATTTTGTTTTGTAAGATTTTAAATTTTATTGGATGATATTGGGCCTTTCACACTTATTTTTATTTATAAATGCTTGGGATCCCAACTTTTAAAAGTGTATGTTTAATAAGTTAAATTTTATTTACCATGATAGTCATTTTTAAATGGCACTTTATGTTATATAATTTATGTTTCACTTTTTTCTACTATGATAGTTCTTTTTTTTTTTACCATGATGGTGCTTTCAAGTTTAAAAATTGTTTTAAAAAAAGATTAGTTGTCTTTTGTTTATTATAGTATGCTCTTTTATATCATGGTTAAGCAAATAAATTAGAAGAATATTTGAAGGTGTTACAAGCATCATGTGTGGATTTTTTTTATTTTTTAAATGCTATGTGGTTGCCACCTAAGCAAATAGAGTCAAAAGTAACAATCAACAAATGGTCACACTAATGGCAAAGCAAAATTACTCCTTTTTTAAAAATTTCATGATAAAATTACTCCAATTAAAAGGTAAAAATATTCAATGTTTTTTTTTCAACAAAATTTCTGGATCATGTTTACCCTTTAACCTTTTATTCTCATGACAAAATATTAGATAATATATTAAAAAAATCCAAATTGGAGAAAGAACGTATTAAAATTTCTCCTATCCTCCCTACTTAGCCAAACTAAACCAAATAATTTAGAGCACGTTTAGTTCAACTTTGTTACATGCCAGCAATGATAATTAACATTACTTTATCAAGATAAAGGGTGGTTACTTTTTTTTTTTTTGTTGGCTTGAGTTATTTGGTTACTATGTAATCTTAGTAATATTGTTCACCATGATATAATGATTACTAAATGTGTATTTGATTTTTAATTTGTCAAAAGTTAGTTTAATAAAATTTTATTTGGTAAAAATCAGTTTAGTGAAAGTTAGTTATTGTAATAAAATTTATATTTAGATAAATTTTTTTAAAAGTTAGTTTGGCAAACTGAAAGTTATTTAAATTATAGATAATGAAATGTCCTTTTAAATATACAATTATCAAAAAAAAAATATTAATTTTTATTGATTATAATTTTTGTTATACAAATGCTTCATATTAGATTAAAATGTCTTATAAAAAAATTAAGATTATAAATTGTATTTAATGAACTTTGTTTATATGTTTTGTAAATTTGGATAGAGAGAGTATTAATTAACATATTCCTTTAGATGTTAGGTAGAAATTATAAGTGAGTAATATACATATATAACAGTAATTATTAATAACTTATTTAATTAATTTTAATGAAAATTTATCACTTAACTTGGAGAAATCAATGTAAAATGAAATAAAGGATGAAAACACAAAAAAAAAAAAATCACTGAACCAGGAGGAAAAAAAAGAAAATACAAAAATTATTTGACACAAAAGTAAAGTACAGGGATGAAACTGTCACCATAGAAGTCTTCAAGCATCTAATTATTGAAATGGAAGCATAGTGAAAAGAAACTGCAAAGAAACCAAGCTAGTGCAAAATAATTGTTGCTCATAGTGCCGCATAATTAAACAAAACAAATTATCACATCACATGTAAATGGATTACTTTTTTGACATGTCTCAAAGCAACTTGATGAAAGGAAATGTGAATGTGTTTTCAAGGAGTTACGTTGGTAAATCCACATTTTTGTTGCTTTTGAATGTGCTTTTAAAAATTCATTTTGAATAGTTTTAAAGCAGCCAATCAACATTTAACTTTTTAAATGTAAGAATGTGCTTTCAAAATATCAAATGTTGTGAATGTAAATAGACCCTAAAAAATATGATAATATCCATTTATATCGATTCAACTTTTCTCCTCTCATTTTTCCCTCCACCGGCCATTCTCTCCACCTGATAAGATCAACATCCTCTACATTTAACTTGAACTAGACAATTTTGCGTGCGCTACATGGGTTGTAATTAAATACTTTGATAAGAATATCATTGATATCAATACATCTAATATGACTAAATTTTTAAAAGTTTTTTTATTCAATTATTTTTCTTTTTGAATATTTTATTTGTATACATATTGTCTTTATTTCTCGAGCCTAGAGTAAAAACTTGTCCATAAAATACTTGTTTTTAGAGTGCTTACAAAATATTGGCAAAAAAAAAATACTTCTTTAAAATTCTCAATAACCACTCATTTTTTATTATGTAAAAAACTTAGACATTAGCTTATGAATTATGTTATAAATTATATTTTTATAAATATAGATATAAGAAAAAATTCAAAGGTATTCCTTTTTTTTAATTGTATTCTATTCTTTTGTATTTTTTAATTCCTATTATTCTTCTTCTTTTTTTATGTGAAAACAAAGGGCTACCAAAAAGATATATCTACCACTAAAGTTTTGTTTGTTTAGAATACTTAAGTAATCATCGCATTATTTTATTAGCATAAAATGTATGGTGAAACATGCACAATTTGAAGGGCCAAGACCATGAGATAAGAATTGATGATTCAAATCAAACTTAAACTTCTTTTTAATTCTTTTTTTCTTTGCATAAACAATGTTTATAATAATTGATAAGAGTTGATTGATATTGAGTACAGCGAACCAAGGAAATACATGAAAAATAAGAAAAGAAACTAAATCCATTAATCAGAAAAATTGAATAGGCATAAGAAAGTACAACAAATGTAAAAGGATAGTCGAATGGAGTTGATAATAATGATTAACGAAATTTAAAAATGGGAGTACTTTTGAATTAATACTCTCGTAAAAGTATATTAAAAATATATGAAAAATAAGAAAAGAAATTAAATCTCATTAATCAAGAAAATTGAAAAGGCATAGAAAAATATAGTGAATGCATAAGGATAATCGGAGGGAGTTAATGCTAACAATTAGCAAAATTTAAAAATGAGACTGCTTTTGAATCAATGCTCCCATAAAAGTAGGCTGAAAGTATATGAAAAATAAAAAAATAAATTAAATCTCATTGATCAAAAAAATTGAAAAGGCATAAGAAAGTACAACGAATGGAGAAGGATAATTGAATGGAGTTAATATAATGATTAGAAAAATTTAAAAATAGAATTACTCTTGAATCAATGCTTCTGTGAAAGTGAACTAAAAATATATGAAAACTAGAAAAATAAAATCTCATTAATGAATTAAGAGAAATTTTCATATTAACATTAGCTTAAAATCTATTAATCAATGAAAGTTAATTTTTTTTTAAAATGCAAATGCTCTTGAATCAATGCTCATATGAAAGTAAAATAAAAATACATGAAAAATAAAAAATTAAATTAAATCTCATTAATTAAGAAAATTGAAAAGGCATAAGAAAGTATAACGAATGGAGAAGGATAATTGAATGGAGTTAATATAATGTTAGAAAAATTTGAAAATAGAATTACTCTTGAATCAATGCTTCTGTGAAAGTGAACTAAAAATATATGAAAACTAGAAAAATAAAATCTCATTAATGAATTAAGAGAAATTTTCATATTAACATTAGCTTAACATCTATTAATCAATGAAAGTTAATTTTTTTTAAAATACAAATGCTCTTGAATCAACGCTCATATGAAAGTAAAATAAAAATACATTAAAAATAAAAAATTAAATTAAATCTCATTAATTAAGAAAATTGAAAAGGCATGAAAAAGTACAGCAAATAGAGAAGGATAGCCGAATGGAATTAATGCTAACAATTAGAGAAATTTAAAAATAGGATTGCTTTTGAATCATTAATTTTGTGAAAGTGGACTAAAAATATATAAAAAATAGGAAAATAAATTAAATCTTATTAATGAATCAAGAAAAATTTTCATATTAACATTAGCCTAAAATCTATTAATCAATAAGAGTTAATTTTTTAACCAATCAAATTAAAGTTACAAGATTTGTATATATATATATATATATTAATTGATTGATGATAAGATAAGATGTCTTGAAAAGGAAAACCAAAACATATGAAAAAATACAACAGACATAAGCCATGAATAAAGAAAACGAAATCAGTTAATGATCTCGTCCAAGCTGGGAACATAAGTGAGTCCACATGAAAAATTAATTAAACCAATGAAAAAAGATAATTAAGTTTAACTAAAATAAAATGACCAATGATAAGGCTCATAATATTATCAATTAGATGATTTGTGTAAGATTTATTGATATATATTGATTTTTATAGTTTAAATTTAAAATTTTTTATTTTTATTTTTATTTTATATTGATTAAAATAAAAATTATAAAAATTTTAATAAATGTACCAATATCGACAATCCAAATTAAATGTAAATGTTTCAAATTTAATATTAAATTTTTTTTATAATTTTATAAATTAATTATATAAATTTATTTAGAATAGTTTTGATTTAAAATTTTTAACTCTTAAATTTTTTTTAAAAAAAATTTTTAAAAAATACATGTTAATAAAAATTATAATATTAAATTTCAACAATTTATTTTAAATTTAAATTAAATTTTCTTTATTTGTGACAGCAAATTTATTAAATTTTTATTTTAATAAATGTATAATAAAACTGAAGCAGCGGAGAGGACGGGACCTCAGTGGAGCTGGAGGAAAGCCAAGTGACTTATTGCATATTTCGAAAAGTCCCATTTACCCTCAGTTCATTTGTCTTTTACACTTGTCTCCTTCCTCCCCCTCCCCCGCCCGCACCTCCAATGCACCACCACGACCACCACCCCTTCCTCCTTCCTCACCGGCGTCCACTACTCCACCCTCGCTGCCGGCAACTCCCCTCTGTCTCCATCCTCTTCTTTCTTCGTCACCTAAACCAGACACCAATTTCTTCTTCTCTTTCCCCCTTCTCTATGAATCTAAAGCGAGCATGACGGTGAACGAAGAGAGTTCGACGAGCACAGCGGAGCAATCTCCGTCCCAGATGTAATCTCCTTCTCCGTCAATATAGTTTGCCGTTTCTAAGTTCATTCAAGTCCGCAAGTTTGTAGATCTGGTTTGCCGTCTGTTCATGGGTTCATTTCTGTTCTTACTCTTGTTCAAAGTGAATAGGCGGATATGCATATTAGATCTATGTGCGGATTCTATGCACAAATATAAGTGCATATCAAAGTTATTAATAATTAATGGGTGGAGATGTATATAAAGATTCGTTTCATCGCTCCATTTCTGTCAACTTGATTTTTGAAACTTCATTCATACCTGGTTCTTTGATCTGCCGATGAGAAAAGGTGACAGAGGTGGCGAGGGTTACTTTTTTTGGATGGGCCTATTTTGGTCTTTTCATTTTTATATTTATTTAATTAAATATAATTAAATAGAAATGGGGCACCATGGGATCAGCAGCTATCAGCCATTGCTGCACTCTCCCACTCCCGCGCCCCCTACCTACCGCTTCTTCATCATCTTCTCCTCATAGCTGTACGGCAGTATCTTTGTCTACACCAAACCCCTGTACGAATCTCTCTGCGTTTTGCCTTCTTCGTTGTAAATGGCAGTTCAATGACACAGAGAACACCCTCCAAAGTTGGATTTTTAATATTGATCTATCACTGCCCCAGTCTGCGACCCCTCAATGCCTTCTACTCCCCCAAGCTTCGCGCTTTCCATCAGGGACGACCAAATGGATGGCAAAGATCGCGTGAAGGAAAGCAAGTGTGCTTTCCTTGTGGTAGCTCTTTGTCCTTGTCTCGTATGTTTTATTCTACTTCTAATTGCACTATCTATCGTTCTCGTCGTCAAATTCCATTTCTTTTGCCACTCTCCCCTCCATTCCTTACTCTTCAAAAAGAATTGCTGATTCCCCTTTCGGAAAAAGTTTCCGGGTTGTCGACAATTGATAGTTCTAGGGCATTTGCAAGTGGCACTGGGGGTGATGAAGATGAATATTCTGAGATTGAATCTGGAAACGACGACGATGATAGCGATCGGGATTGTGATGGTGGTGGAGATCTTAATGCTAAATCCGGCGCTCACCCGGATGAAGTTGATAGGGTGTGCAAGGTGATTGATGAATTGTTTGCGTTGGATCGGAATATGGAGGCAGTTCTTGATGGGTCTGGGATACAATTGTCAAATGATTTGGTCGTGGATGTTCTAGAGCGGTTCAAACATGCTAGGAAGCCAGCATTTCGATTCTTTTGTTGGGCAGGTCAGAGGCCAGGTTTTGCCCATAATTCCAGGACATATAACTCAATGATGAATATTCTTGGGAAGACTAGACAGTTCGAAACCATGATGGCAATACTTGAGGAAATGGGTGAAAAAGGCCTTTTGACCATGGAAACTTTCACCATTGCTATCAAAGCCTTTGCTGCTGCGAAAGAGAGGAAAAAAGCTGTCGGGATCTTTGACCTGATGAAGAAGTACAGATTTAAAGTGGGTGTTGATTCTATTAATTTCTTGCTTGATACTCTTGGAAGGGCAAAACTTGGCAAAGAAGCGCAGGCCATATTTGAAAAACTGAAAGATAGATTTACATACAATTTACAGACTTACACGGTGCTTCTTAATGGTTGGTGCAGGGTAAAAAATTTGATGGAGGCAGGGAGGCTGTGGAATGAGATGATTGATGAGGGATTTAAGCCGGATGTTGTTGCACATAATATTATGCTTGAGGGTTTGTTAAGGTGTAAGAAGAAGTCTGATGCGATCAAATTATTTGAAGTCATGAAAGCCAAAGGTCCATTGCCCAATGTCCGGAGTTACACCATTGTAATACGGGATTTGTGCAAACAAAAAATGATGGGGGAAGCAGCTGAATTTTTCCACCAAATGATTGATTCTGGATGTCAACCGGATGTTGCAGTCTACACCAGTTTGATCACTGGGTTTGGAAACCAGAAGAAAATGGAGGTGGTATACAATCTACTGCAGGAAATGAGGGAGAAGGGTTGTCCACCAGATGGGAGGACCTATAACGCATTAATAAAGTTGATGACAAGTCAACATATGCCCAATGACGCGATGAGAATATACAACAAGATGATTCAAAATGGTGTTGAACCATCAATTCACACTTACAACATGATAATGAAGTCCTTCTTTGTGACAAAAAAATATGAAATGGGCTATGCAATTTGGGATGAGATGTGTCAGAATGGGTGCTGTCCTGACAACAATTCCTACACCGTATTAATTGGAGGGCTTATAAGACAAGGAAGGTCTGGAGAGGCATGCAAATTCTTGGAGGAAATGATAGAGAAAGGAATGAAAACACCTCAGCTTGATTACAACAAGTTTGCTGCTGATTTTTCTAGAGGAGGGAGGCCTGAGATACTTGAGGAGTTAGCTCAAAGGATGAAATTTTCTGGTAAATTTGAAGTGTCCAATGTCTTTTCCAGGTGGGCAGAGATGATGAAGAAAAGGGTCAAGAGAAGAGAGCCTACAAAATATAGTAGGCAGTTTTCATGAATATCTGATTGCCATACTGGTGGCCAGAACCTCTTTGGCCTGATATTACAATAGTTGTATCCAAGATGGTATCTCAGTTATTTTCCTGCAACATTATGCATTTAATATGCTAGGCTTATTTCCTTCCTATCGTAGATGTCCAATAGTGTTTCTGGATGATAAAGTTATCGGTTTGGGAATCCTTTCTCACTTGGGCACTTTGTTCTCTTGAAGGATTGCCAGTGATGTAGTTCCAATTGATTTGCAAAAGACAGAGTTATGTTGTTAGGTCTCCAGTATCATCAATGTTGAAAGCCAAGCTGATTCTTTGGGTGCGACACTTGTCTTGTTCATATTTGGTATCATGTTATTTGGTCACTGGCTAACCAGGATTGTACGATAACAGTATTAGTTTGATAAGTGCATTGTTGATAATTCCTGTAGTTTTTTTGGATCTTTGTTGTTTTATTATGCACTTGATGGCAAAATCGATATCTATATGAACATGAGCGCAGAAGAAGCTAACGGAAGTCAACCTAGGTAGGAATAAAAATCATCATCAATCAATTTTAACACCAAGTTCGATATCCAGCCACTGTTCCCCATCTACAGCAGATGACTAGTTTTTAATCTTGGCGGGCTTCTAGGTTGGTTCAAACTTTCCCTCCTACTAGTTTCTTTTTTATCATGCTTTTCATCTGCCCATGCTTTCCCATTCTCATTCGGGTTCATGCTAATGTTTTACTTGGTTCCCATGAATTCTCTCCCGTGCTGTTCCATCCAAGGTGGCGTGCTTGAAAACTTTCTGCAGTACGTGTAAGGGCGTGCTCTGCCGCCATTCCTAGTGGTGGAAGAGCCTTTGACTTTCCCTTTTACCCTCACTGGGTGAAGTGTCTGATTGCTGCTTCTGGGATTGCGAGAGAAGAATTGAAGGAGGCGCGATCCCATTATAAACCTTATTATTCGATCGTTGAATTAACTTATTCAACAACTTCTACAGGTTCTTAAGTTCTCGCTCTCTCTCATTTTCTGCTTGCTGCTATGCCATTTCTATAGATCACGATATGTATTCCAATGGCCCTTGGGGGTTTGGATTATAATTTTCAAATTAAAATGTGCTATCAGAATTTATTTTCATTCTGAAACAGTGATAGGCAATCGCAATAGTTACCTTATAAGTCCTAGAGAAATTAATCTCACAAATCATTACATTGTTGGACTTGCTCTCTGTGCTTTAGGAAATATTTGTTCAGCAGAAATGGCTTGTGATCTTGCACCAGAGGTTGAGATATTGATGCCATTTTGAGATCCAAATATTCGTAAGGTGGCTAATTTATTTCCTTTTTGAAGTTTTTGTGTGTCTCAAATAAACTTTGAATTTGATGGATATATTGGATTTTATACATGTATATTGATATATTACGTATGGTAAGGGGAGAAGAGAAGAGGCCTTGATTGCTTCTTATTGTTTCAAAGTGACCCCTAGTTGATAGCTGCAACTTATAATTCTCTATTCAAAAGTGGTTAACTTTCACTTGTCTGTTGTATTCCCCCCCACCCCCAAAAGAAAATGGCTTATTTGTCTTGTTTGTTTGATTTAATAAATATTTTGGTCCCTTTTAGCGTAGTTGTTGTTTATAATTGTTCTTGTACATGCTTTGTGGCAATGTAGTAATTTCGTATACCATGAACTCTCTACCATGTTAGTAGAAAAATCAGATGGTGCATATGGAGTCTTACTGAGTTCATATTTTTCCTTGGTTTTGTTTTGCCATGATTTCTGATGGAAATAGTGAAAGGCACTATTATAAACTGGTTAGTTTATAATGCTGAATATATTAGATTGTAGTTAATTAAACATAAAAACCCCCTGCTGAAAACAATGTCTTGTTACGTGTGGCCTACAAAACGTTTACTTTCTAGGACAATTTAATTTCGGTATCTGCGATTTGAATGTCACGTGGTTATGCCATTTCTTTTAAGAGAGAATGACAGAGAGGTCTGAAGGGGATCCGAATTAGGTCCCAAGCTTTAAGAATTTGCAAATTCAGTTTTTATTTTTGTAATTTTGTTATGATGAATTTGTAATTTTATTCCTATTAAAATTTAAAACATAAGTTGCAAATTCATCATAATGAAATAGCAAAATTAAAAAATGAACTTGTAAATTCTTGAAGCTTGTCACTTAGGACTTAATTTGAATTAATTAGTCCTCTAAGGACCTATTTGTCATTCTCCCTTCTTTTAGACATAGCTTCAATTGTTAGGGGCGTTCTATAATTAGTCTCTGATATTTACTTGTACTAACTTAAGCCTTTGTATAGCCTTGAATAATAGAAATTTATTATAACCATGTGAGTTTGAGTAGATTCTTCATTGAAATTTAAAAGCTAAATCATAAATCGGAAATCATTTCTTAGCTAATAACATGTTCTCAGATATCACACTTCAATTGAAGCAAAAGCTCCTCTCCTTCAATTTGTTGTTGCCAATTAAACTACTAGCTTGTAAAATTTCATGTTGTGCTCAAACGGAAACTGACTGATTACGTTTCTGGTGAGTCAACTGTGAACTTCAATTTGGAGTGACATGGTCCCCTCGAAAAGGATACATTGTTAAAATATATTAGGAGGTTGGTATAACTGAATTTTTGGTATCAAATAAAATTTCATACAGGCACTCATTACATGCTATGATGATTTCAAATTTAATATAATGAAGTTATTATCTAATCATTGTATCCAACTTTCTGATTGGAACAACTTCATAATCATTCTCAGCAGTCTATCGGGCTACATTCCATGGTGCTGTGACTTTCATTTGGGGAACGTATGGCCCTGGATCATTAAATCGTTCGTCATGAATAATTAATTATTTTTTAGATTCAAGAATCTAGTGGCCGCCATCTTCTCATTTAACATCATCCTTGGACTTGTTTACTACCATGGGGAGATTAGGGGTGTTCACCCTTATCTCAAAATTCGTACTGTTCAGTTTGAGAATTGAGATGGGACTAGGACATCCTAGTAAACCAAACGAAGCATAAAGAAGATATCTGAGTAATAATATTTATTAAATGATATAATTTGTTAAGTCAAAAATTAAAACAATATTGGTACATAAATTTAATCATTAGGCAACAATAATTATAATTTAAAGTAAAAGAACATAATTATAGCAACCACAATTTAAAGTAAGTGCACAATAACCACAAATAACTTTTTGGCTAAAAATATTATAACAATAATAGAATCATTGAGTTACATAACTTAAATGAGCAGATGGGTATGTACAAGAATTATGAAATAAATAAATAAAGTATATTAGAATTATGAAATAAATAAATAAATAATATATACTTTGACTTTAACTAAACAAATAAAATATTAAACATTAACAAAAGAAAATAAAAAATATTCTTGCCCCAAACAAATTTATGCCTCACCTTACAAAGTTCTCTCTCCTCTCTCTCTCTCTCTCTCTCTCTCTCTCTCTCTCTCTCTCTCTCTCTCTCTCTCTCTCTCTCTCTCTCTCGTGGTTGGAAGGGACACAGTTGTCCCAATGTAATTGAGATGAAACCGGGCCGATCCGAATAGGACAAGCATCAACACCCTTAGTGGTAATAGTGGACTTGCAATGGATATGTACATGCAACATGGTTCATGATAAGGAATCTGCTTTGAAGAGAAACAACTATCCATGAAGATCCTATTCACTATTGAGAGGATTCTTACAGTTGCTGAAGTCTGAGCTTGATTTGCTACGATTGAAGCTCAGTTTTTACTTTGGGGGTTATGAAAAAAAATCTGACATTTTTCTTTGGTTGAATTATATATACGACGAGAAACTGTAAGGATGCAATGAGATCTAATGTATTGGTTCATGAATTGCAATCAAGTCAAAGAAAATATTCGGTACTGTAACAGAAAGTTTGTTCCATTTTGATTTATGATTCTATTCGGCTTGTCTAATTTTTTTGCCATTATCATTATGCCTTGCATCACAATTCTTTATTTCTGAAAATATTCATTTGAAATAAATTGTTGTGCTAATATTTTTTTCTCGATTTATATTTTGATTGTATCTATTTCCCCCTGTTTTCTTATAGTGGTGCGGACTATGGAGTGTTCAGAGGATTGCCGCATGCTTATATGCTATTATTTTAGATAATATTATAAATTAGCATTATGAAGCTGGTCAAAAAAGTTAACATGATGAAGATGCTAAAAAAAAAAAATTTAGCATTATAAGCTGTGAATAACATACATGGTACCATTACCCAGTTAAGATTTATAATCTATAAAAGATATTATACTATTATTCTTGTACATTATTTGATTAATTTACTTATTATTTTTATAACCAAGAATTATGATTATGAATGTTGGTAAAGTGTAATCTCAGTAATAATGACTATAACAAGGGTTTAGGTGTTAATGATTAAAACAAAAATAAAATACTCATTTACAATATAATTTAATAAAACCTAATTTCACAATATATTTTTCAAATCAAAATAATTATTCTCACATAAGATCGAATCTTACTGAATCGCACAAGTAGGATTCTAGCTTTTAGAATTGTTGGACAATTTTATCCTTCAAATTTAGTTTATTTCTCCTCTGCTTCCTCCACCTGTTAACATGTCTTCCTCCACTCTTTCCCCACTCGGCTTGTGTCACCTATAGCTTGAATGTAAAGACATGCATTTACTTTTATCACTATCTTTGTAAATAAATTGCATTAATTGGCTTCCTGTCTGTTATATTTTTTTATAAGAAAACTAAGAGAAGTTCAATTTCAACAATATAAATAATTTGTCTCTATAACTGAGAATGATTATTCCCAACCTTGATGAAGCTGAGCATGTGCCAATTCTCATCTAGTTTTGTTTTACACGTTGTCTCAGGCCTACAAATTGAGCGAGAAGATTTCAAAAGTGAATAAACTTATAGATACTCTTTCTTCTGTTATACCTATTTGAAGTACAAGTTTCTGGAATATATGGGATTCCAACAAACTGAAGGAGGAAATGAATTGAGACGTCAAGGACTTGGTTTTTTATTTCAAAGTGGAAGCAACAGTGTGTGCCCACCATCTGAGGCTATCTTTCATATCAATTTCCTTGTTCAGAGCTGGGACTCTCCAATTCATCAGTGAGCTCTGCTTCTTTTGCTTGTCCAGAACTTGCCACGCTTCAGAAAGGTAAGGTCTTTGGATTGCAGAGTAATTATCAGAGCCATCTTCTTTCTCATCTTTCTTCCCTAACCTTTGCAGCCCAGGAATAATGGAAGCCAAGCTGGAGTCCTTATCTTCTTCTGAGAAAACAAAGCCCAGATC